TGGTGCAGGGCTCAAACTAGGAGTATAGAACGGCGAGGGGGGGATGGAAGGGTGAATGTGGCTTAGGGAGTCCCAGCGCGGAGAGCTGCGCTGTAGACTTACCCCAAGAACAGCATGGTCATTTTTACAATATGAATTCTTCCAATTCATGAGCATGGGAGGTCTTCCTAGTGCCTTCCTCAATCTCTTCCTTCAAAGTTTAAAAAATTTTCATTGTAGAGATCTTTAATATCTTTGGTTAGGTTTATTCCTAAGTATTTTTGAGGCTATTGTGAATGGGAGTGTTTCATGTACTCTTTCTCTGATTTCTTGTTATTGATATGTAGAAAGTCTACTGATTTTTGTAGATTGATTCATAACCTGCTACTTGCTGAAAGTGATAATCATTTCTAGGAGTTTTCTGGTGGAATTTTTGGGATCTCTTATGTATAATATCATATCACCTGCAAATACATATAACGTGACCTCTTCTTTTCCAATTAGTACTCCATTAATTTCCTTCTCTTGTCTTATTGCTCTAGCAAGAGTTTCAGTCATTATATTAAAAATGACTGGAGATAGTGCACAGCCTTGTTTGGTTCCTGATTATAATGAGAATGCTACCAGTTTTTCTCCATTTAGAATGATGTTGGCCATGGGTTATATATATAACTTTAATTGTGTTGAGGTATGTTCACTCCAGTAAAATTCCCTCTAGGACTTTTAACATAAATTCATGTTGGATTTTGTCAAAGGCCTTTATGGCATATATTGAGATGACCATATGACTTTTGTTTATTAATCCATTTATATGGTTTATAACATTTAGTGACATGTATATTGAACCATCACTGTATCTCTGAAATAAAGTCAACTTGATCAGGGTGGACAATCTTTTTGATGTATGTCTATATGTGATTTGTATTTTGTTAAGAATATTTGCACCTATGTTCATTAAGGTTATAGGTCTATAGTTATCTTTTTTGATTATGTATTTACCTGGTTTGGGTATTAGGGCGTTGCTGGCTTCATGGGAGTCAGGGAGTTCTCACTCTGAATCTATTTTTTTAAATAATTTAAGTAGTATTGGTTGTAGATCTTTTTAAATGTCTGGTAGAATTCTGCTGCGAACCCATCTGGGCCTGGGCTTTTTGAGTCAGGAGGTTTAGTATTACTGTTTCAATTTCCTTATTTGTTATCAGTCTAAATATTGATCTCTTCTTGGTTTAGCTTTCATGGGTCCCATGAATTTATATATTCATCCATTTCTTTTAGGTTTTCAAATTTAATAGAATATAGGTTTTTAAATTATTCTCATAATTTTTTGTATCTTTTTGGTGTCTGTTGTGATTTCCTCTTTCATCTCTGATTTTATTGATTTGGATTTGCTCTTCCTTTCTTTGGGTTAACTGGGCTAAGGCTCTGTCTGTCTTGTTTATCTTCCCAAGGAACCAGTTCTTGGATTCATGGATTCTTTGTACCGTTTTCTTTGTTTTTGCTTCATTAATTATTAATTTCTGCTCTGGATTTTGTTATTTCTTCTCTTCTGCTAGGTTTGGGTTTGATTTGTTCTTGCTTTTTCAGAGTCTTGAGTTGCACTATTAAGTCATTGATTTTTGCTCTCTCTCTGATTTTTTAACGTAGGTGCTTTTTTTGAAACCAGGGATTTAACCTAGGATATCATGCATGCTGGTCCAGCACCTTACCACTGAGCTACATCCCCCTGTAAGGACTTTGGACTTTTTAAGTATTGGAATTGTTAAAAACTATAGGGACTTCTACAGTTGGAATCAATGCATTTTCCATTATAACATAGTCATGAGCCTATGGGGACAAGGGGTGACTGGTTATGGTTTAAAGGTAATATGTTTGGGGTTAATGGATGGATGGCGGTCCATAGGATGAAGTTGTAATCGCTGGTGTTAATTATCAACTTGATAAAATCTAGAATCACCCTCTAGATGGGTCTCCCGAGATGCCTGTGGGGGTATTACCTTATGTTTGCTAATGTGGGAAGATCCGTCTTAATTGTTTGCAAGACCATTCTCTAAGAAAGGGTCACACACTGTGTAAAATGGAGATGAGATGAGCACTACCATTGGTTGCTCTTGTTTTCTGACTGCTGACGTCATGTGGCCAGCTGCTTCAAGCTTCTACTAACTTGGCTTCACCACTACAATGGACTATGCCTTGAACTGTTGAGTCAGAATAAATCCTTTCTCTCCTAAGTTGCTTTTGCCAGGACACTTATTCCATCATCAGAGAAAGAAACTAGTACAGCTCCTTAAGTTCTATAGTCATCTCTTATCCCACTCACTTTCCATGCTCTTAGTTACTTATTCGTGGGTACTTATTCACAGTCAGAAGATATTCTGAGAGGCATGATAAAATCTCATATCTTTGCTCAGCATCTCATCCAAGTAATTAATCATCCCCGTATCCTTGTATCTACTCTGTATCTACTACTCCCTAATAGTCACAAGTTACTTACCCTAGTTCTCAGTCTTTTTAACAATTTTTTATGTGTATGAGTGTTTTGCTTGCATCTGTGTAAATGCACCTGTGCCATGCAGAGTTCAGAGCCTACAGAGGCCAGAAAAGGGCATCTAATCCCTTGGAACTGGAGTTGAAGACAGTTTGAGCCACCATATGTGTTCCGGGAATCAAACTCAGTCCTCTGGAAGAGCAGCCAGTGCTCTTAACCGCTGAGCCATCACTCCAGCCCCCAAGTCTCAGTCGTGATATCACGGCACTTGTGTTCATGTATCCCTTATTTTATTTAACAATGGCCTCAAGGTACAAAAGTGATGATGCTTGAAATTTTAATATGTCAAAGAAAGCTATAAAGTGTTTCCTTTATGTGGACGTTTTTAATTTAAAAAGGAAAAAATAGAGAGAGAGAGCTGAATACCATCTAGGGTTTCTGGAATCCACTAAAGGTTTGGGTACTGAGAGAAATGTAAACCGTATACTAGCTTCCAGCCCCAAGGTTTCCTATTAGAAATCAGCTGGTAAACTTCTTGAGGTTTCTTTGTATAAGAAGTTTATTCTTTCTTGCTTTAGATAATTCCTCTTGTCATTAGTCATGGGTAAGTTAATTCTAATGTGTCTTGGTATGGATCTCTTTAAGCTTAGCCTAATTGGTGTTTAAGTTTCATAGGTTTGTAGATTCAAGGTTTTTGTGAGAGGTGGGACAACTTGACAACTACAGCTTCAAAGAATGTTTCTGCTAAATTCTCTGTCTTTCGAAGTTTTAAAATTATATTCATTGTACAAAATGATGGATTTCATTATGACTTTTGGTTTTTTTCTAGACAAGGGTCTCCCTGTGGTTGGTCTTGATCTCACCGTGTAGCCCACAGGGGCCTTGACCTCAGGATCTCCTGAGTGCCAAGATTACAGGCATAGGTCACCACACCTGGCTTCACTATGGCATTTGCATGTGTATATGTCATGTGTTCGGCTCATATCCCTGTCATTGCCCTTTCTTGTCCCCATTCCCTTTCCCACTGGTCCCCTTCCTATCCCAAACACTTCCATCTCCACTTTCATGTCATATACATACTTTAAAAATATATATTTTTTGCATATGAGAGAAAGATATTTGTCTTTCTGAGTCTGACTTATCTTAGTTAATATCATTATTTCTGGATCCATCAGTTTTTCCTGCAAATGGCATAGTGTTCTTCTTTGGATGAATAGCACTCCATTATATAACATTGTATATATATTTTCATTAGTCACTCTTCTATGAAATCTCATAAAGATCTCTATAGTGACTGTACCAATTTACATTCCCAACAACAGTGAATAATGGTTATCCCCGCCCCCACTTCATCCTCACCAGTATTTATCACTGATTATTTTCTGCATGATAGCCATTCTGATTGGAAGAAGATGGACTCTCAGTATAGTTTTGATTGGAATACCTCTGATAGTTAGGAAGAAGAATGTTGGGAAGAGGGGAAAAAAGAGTTCATCACTCTGGGAGATCTCCAAGGCAAAGTTTATGTTATGGATGTGTTTTCAGAACCAAAGCTTACCCAGCAACTAATGAACACTGCAGTGTTACCCAGCTGCACAGGTAGTGCATGAGGTTTAGAGAAAGGTCTGAATTTAGACCCATGCTGGGTATGACTATTGTAAAATAAGTGGGAGGGGAGGTTTATTTTGCCTCATGCATGCATGGCTCAGAGGGCCGAGTTCACCCTTGTGGGAAAGGCATGGCAGCAAGAGTGAGTTAGCTAGTTACATCACGGTGGTAAACCAACCATTAAAGAGCTTTGGTCATCTACAACCCTCAAGGCCCACCTCTATGACCTATGCCCCAAATGTTCCACAACCTCCTGAAACAGTGCTACCAGTGAAAGACTGAGCATTGAAACACATGAGCCTATGGTGGTGGTTTTATTAATACATCCAAACCATAACAGTGGGTCATGAGAAAGGAAGACAGGTATGACACAGACCTACAAAATGATCCCATCTGAGGAGTAGCTTTGATGCCCAAGAATCCAAAAGAGAAAAGCAGACCACACCTGTGCCACCCTCTTGGCCTGTGCTAGGGTGTTCAAGAGTCTTTTGATGACAGTAGTGCCAATAGCCCTGGTCCAACCATCCACAGAGAAGGCTGAGAATGGGTAAGTCAAGAGTCGGGGGGAGGGGACAGGTATGAGGACAGAGATTCCCACACATCAGAACACTGGGTGGCTTTTCTAGCCCAAATATCCTCCCCTACTGTGAAACTACACAGCCCTCACCTAGCATAAGCAGTCACTCTAGTAAGCCACTGAGGGTCACTCTTCATTGGACCCCATAATCTCTGTAGATGAGGCTGTTTGGCCACCCCCTGCTCACTACTAACCCTAAGGAAAGTCACCTCTCAAGATGACCCACAATGGTCAGCAGAACTGACATAGGGGTAGCTTGCTAAGTAACCTGCTGGAAGAATGGGGTGACTGAAACTGTCCCTACCTAATGAAGTTGCATCATATCTTGACATATGTCTCCTTTTTCTTCAGGTCAGGCATTGTGGACAATAACTGGATATACATTTATTCCTTTGTGGAGAGTTTGGTGAAGAAATACCAAAAGTATGGCTTCTTCCGGCTGTAGGATCACCATGCTTCAGGGGAATGGTCTCCTGGCAGGCAAAGGGCATATCCCTTAGATTTGGTGGCTGTCTTAGTTTGTTCTTCATTGCTGTGACAAAACACTCTGACCAGTACCAACTTGGGGAGGAAAGGGTTTATTTGTCTTACATCTCCCAGGTCACACACAGTTCATCAGGGAGTCCAAGGTAGGAACTCAGGGCAGGAACCTGGAGGCAGGAGCTGGAGCACAGGCCATGGAGGAATGCTGCTTACTGGCTTGCTCCCCTGGCCCCTGCTCAGCCTGTTTTCTTATGCAACACAGGCCCACCTGCCCAGGGGTGGCACCACCCACAGTGGGCTGGGCCCTCCCACATCACTCATCAAGAAGATGCCCTTCAGACATGGCCACAGGCCAGTCCAATAGAGGCAATTCCCCGACTGAGGCTCCCTCAACCCAGGTGTGTCAAGTTGACACTAAAGCTATCCAGCACAGTGGCCATGAAAATTCCTCATAAAGAGAGCACAGACTCAAGCTGATGTGTGAAAATGACAGGGGACGGAGTACACTAGGGTTTCTGCAGCACTGGCTGAGCCTATCTGGGAACTAGATGCAGTACAGGGATGGAGTCTGCCCTCTAGGACCCCTCAGGTGGAAAGGACATCATGACAGGCAGACTAGTAACTTGGTAACTGACACTTGGTAACAGGATGTTCGGGGACAGAGGAATGTGTTGGGGAGTTTGCCATGGAGAAATAAAGGAAAAGAGAAATTTCAAGAGAAAAGTATAATACCCAAGAGAAAGTAGATTCAAGACTGGGGCCTGTAGAGTCAGAGAGTGAGCTTTTGCAGTACTATGCCTCAGTACTTAACAGAAATAACTTAGGAGAGGAAGGATGTATGGCTCACAGGATCGGAAGGTTTCAGTCCATCATGGTGGTGATGGCATGCCAACAGGAGTATGTAGCCAGGGCTACATGAAAAGGACCACAGGTCAGCTTGTGTGTAAAGCCATAAGGGGAACTGTGAGCCACAGGGAGCAACAGAAGGTGTACAGGCAAGGAAAAGGCAAGATCGAATTCTAAGAAGCCTGATAACTTGATGAACTAAGTCAGGAAGCACATGAGACACTGAGCATTCGGTCAGGGAGACATGATGAAGGGTCTGAGGGTCCTAGAGCAGTGAACAGGGAGAGGAAAGGGAGGAATTTTTTTGAAAGGCTACCCTGAAGGAGAGTGATCTCTTTGAAGTAAAGGCTAGGAGGTAGAGGGAAAGGGGCTGAAGATGCAAAGAATTTAATAGCAGGGGCCAGGGGAAGGCCCTCATGGAGGAATGTTGGGGCATGAGTGGGTGTATATGTGTATATGTGATTGTGTGTACATACGAAAGAGAGGAGGGAAGGGAAGAGAGACACAGAGAGAGAGTCCCACATCTCCATAGGCTTCAGCATCCCTCACGAAATTTATCTTAACTCCTTCCTCATCTCTGGATGTCCCCAATGTAAAAATGATGGGGTAGAGACAGGGGTTTGGGGTAGAGACAGGGGTTTGGCGTATGTCCCTTCCCTGGCTGCTCCTTGACACTGAGGAGCCACTGCATTGGCTTCTCACTGATTATGCTTTGTCCCCAGCCCTAAACTACGGATGTCCTTCATTACATACTCAACAGATGCTGAAATTGTCTTGCCACTCACCTCAGACAGGTAGGTGTTACTCTGAACCCCAAGGCTGACTCGGTGGCCAGGACACAAGGAACTAGAAGAAACTGAGGGCTCATAGAGCTCTCCGGGGGGTTCCCAATGTTGCCTTTAGTAGCTAGTCACCACATGCCTATTACCCAAATTGACCTCTAGCCCTAGCTTACTGGCTCCCTTGGACCTCTACTTCACCAGAACACAGAGGCCTTATGCTTCTAGATGTTTTCCACTCCTGACTCTTCCTCTGGGCCTGGCTGTAACAACATGGAACATATGGAGCTGGTGGAGCAGATGATAGTCCCCTCAGACCTTGGCCTGTGTGGAGTATGTTATGAACAGGTCACACACTGCCTGGGCCAGTGGGGCAAGGAAACAGCTGGGAACTCCAAGGAAATGCTAAAGCATTCCATTGGGGAGGGGGCCGGGACCTCTGTGACCATAGGTAGGGAAATCCCAGGATGGGGCTGTGATTCTCCTGGACTGTGTGCTATAAGAAGGTATGAGGAACAGGAGCCACAGAAGGAAATGGCCTACCTGTGCCCAGACTCCTCCAAGTTGGAAGCTAGGGGTTCTAACTGTCTGAAAAGATCATCTTTGGCTCCTCTGCCAGAGATTCCATGCAGATAAGAGAAACAAAGAGAGATGCAGGAGCATTTAAGATTGGGGACATCTGAGGTATAGGAAGCCTCTGACCAGGGCCCCAGAGAAAAGCCAAGAGCAGAGACAGAAGGGAGACAAGACAGCCCCAAGGAAAAGAAAAGGGTTCCAAGTTTGTGAAGATAGCACCCCACCCTGGTCCTCCTTGGGAGGAAGAAACAAAGAAGGGCTGGGGTCCTAGGAAGTCCTGGTTTGATACATCCTGTAGCTTCAGCTTAGGGGAGGTTTGACTGAATTCCAGTGACAAAGAAGACTTCTGCAGGGAGTACAGAGAACAGCAGAGAGTGGGCAAGGCAGAGGGGAGGCTGCGCAGAGGGGAGGGGGCTAGACTGGGCTGAACTGGGAAGAGGGGAGGGGATAGGCTGGACAGAGGGGAAGGGCCTGGGCCAAGCAGGGAGTGGGTTCCAAGGCAGGGAGACTGGATTGGGCGTGGACAGGCAAAAGAATGAGGACTGGACTGGGGTGGGCAGACCCTGGTTTGGCCCCCATTTGGTGTGCTGTGTGTGGCCATCTCACCTTCTAGACAGGGTCTGCCTGGCTGGACATGGGACTCTCAGAGCTTAGCCCATGGCAGGCTCTATGTCCCCAACAGGAAGCCACCTTAGAGTTCACTGTGAGTTAATTGGCTGTGCCTTCCCAGCCTTGTCACATTAGATTATTACTGATTCTCATACTCCATTTCCTGTCCTAGAATGGCCACAGCTCCAGCGCTGTCTGTCCTAGTGTGTCCTGTCTGCTTAACAGCACCTGACAGGCAATGTCCCCTTCCAGCCTGGGGAGCAGTGTGACATCCTCATGGACATCCCTCAGGGCCTTACTCACAGCTTCAGAACTTTTGGGTCAGGAGCATGTGCAGTCCTCAGCCAAGCAGATTGGTTGTTGCTTTTAGCAGAGTAGAGGGTACAGTAGAAATGAGATCTGAGCAGTGGCTGTGTGGGATGGTATGGTCCTCCTCAGCCCTGCTCAGGACAGTGACCTTGGCATTAGGGTTCCCATTAGAAATGTGGTGCCCCTGGGAATCCCTAGCCCAGATATTCATCCCCCTTATGCTCTCCAAAGACAGACAGTAGAGGCAAAGTCCCTGTCAAAGTCCACAAGACCTGACTGCTCAAAGATAAGGTTGAGCTCAGAGACAGCCAGACCTTCCCACATGACCCACTGAGCGCTCTGTCCTCTCCTGTCCTGCCTCAATACTCATAGGATCAGGGACAGAGAAAGACTCAGGGAAGAATGGGGTGGCAAGGCCTCTTACCTGCTGCCCTCCTACACCCAGGTGTTATACACAGTGGGTAAGACTGTGGGGCAGCTTGGAGAGGTTTTATCACTGTCAAAAGTCTTCAAGTACCTATTCTTTTTTATTCATTTCAGAAATAAAATCCATGATGGTCTTAGCAAACTCCAGAAAGTCGTGCCTGAAGGATACTCATACATGCACGAAGGATTTAAGAAGGTACAGACAGCTAGAGCCACCTGTGGTGCTGTCTCTGTTTAGAGTGTAACTGGGCTCTTCTCACCATGTCCCCAATGTTTCTTTGTTTCCTGGCAGGCAAATGAACAGATCCAAAATGCTAAGTCAGGAGGTGAGCTGCCTTTGCCTTCAGTGGGGTGGGTCCTCACAGAACCAGGATCCCTGCAGAGTTTGTGTGCAAATCTCCAGACCTCTTTCAGTCTGACTCTGAGAAGCAGGACCCTGTGAGCATAGCACACACACCCCACCCCAGGATGCTTCTGAGAGAGGCTGCATGTAGACCTGTATATGTCTTGGTCACACTGAGGTCCTTGGCCTACAGATGTGTCTGAGGCCAGAAAGGAGAAAGCACAGGGGCCTGAGTATACTGAGGACCCAAGGGCATGGAAAACAGGCCTTGGTTTCACTTTGACTGCCAGATCTTCTTTTCCACCTCTTCCTTTGTTTGGCCTGCCTCCTGGGCTGTGCATTATCCAGCAACACAAGCTGTCATGCTCATCCAGGACTATAAGTCTTCAAAACTTGTCTGGAATATATAGAATCTGGTAGAGAAATTTGATCAGGAGACATTGGGTCTCCTGCCTAAGATTATCTAATGTGGAGTCTTGGCCTACCAGGCCTACTTTTTCTCAACAGGATACCCCTGAGGCTGTGCCTGAAGCCAGTCCCAGGCTCCATTTACTTCACTGGGCATTCTCAACAGAAGGGTCTTCCTGCTCCTCCAGCTGCCTAGGGGCAGGCTGGGCTTGTGGTATAATGCCTAGGCTGCCTTTAGAACACAGGTCCCACAATCTGAGGGCAGCAAGAATCCAGGCCTGCTGGTAGGCAGGTCCCTGAACACTCTGGCTCTTAATCTGTAGATTAGGTTGTGAGCAAAGCCTTCTTCTCATCTGGGTGGCAGGTGCTGAACTTTGTACCATCCTATAAGAACATACACTAGGGAACAACCAGAGTTCTTGAAGTGGGCAGTACTGGATCTGCATTCTCACCTACTAGGACACTAAGAGCCTTGTCCACCAGGCCTACCCACTTCTTGCTTCTTCTGCAGGTAGCCATGTCAACAGTGTGATTATTGCTCTGACTGATGGGAAACTGGACATGGGAACATATTATGAAACTCTGGAAAAGGTGAGTCCAGTCCACAGGTGTCAACAGTTGCAGTTTACCTCTGTTATTTGGGGGATTTATTCTCAGCATCTTCTTTCTTTTAGGCTGAGAAAGCCAGGAAAATGGGAGCAACTATTTACACCGTGGGTGTGTTTGAATATGACAAAGGACAGGTATTTCAGCCCTGTTGACTAGGTACTCTTCTGTAGTCCTTTGGGGTAAAATTGTGAAGCCAGCTTCCCAGGCCATCCAGAGACTGGTGGTCTCTCTCATGTGAGCAAGAGGCGGCCAGTGCAAAGGACTAGTCCACATGGTTGCATAAACCAATCCCCTACATACAGTGAGTGGGAGAACTTCCTAATTCTCAAGCTTGGGCTTTGAACAGAAGCCACAGTCTCACCCTAAGCACTTGACACCCTGCTGTCTCCTTGGCCTGAGGGCAATAGTTCATGTCCCAGGTCTGTGGACCCCTTGCATCACACTTCTGACCCCTGACTCTAGGGCTCTAACCAGTTTGTTGTCTCTTTTCTCATGTAGATTAGAGACATTGCAGACAGCCCACAGCACAGTTTTGGGGTGGACAATGGATTCCTTGCTCTGCAGGACATCACTAACTCGGTGAGTGAGTTGGAGGTGAGAAGACTGGGGGGAAAGCCTTCTGTACAGTCCCTGAGGCTCACTCCCCTTCCCACTTCCATCTCTTCTCTCTCTCTCTCTCTCTCTCTCTCAGCTTGTTTCCAAATCCTGTGTTGAAGTCTTATCAGTGGATTCTCCCTCAGTGGCTCCTTCTCCAGAGGATCCTCCTCCAGAGGATCCTTCTCCAGTGGCTCCTATCCCTGTATGTGCAAAAGGTAAGAGCTGAGTAGTCACTGACATGAGCGGATGATGTAAGTCAAGAGCGTGTGTTCATTGTTCATTTGCATGAGCATGTGTGGCTGTGGTATCATTATGTATGTGGTTTTTACAGTATATACATATATATATATATATATTCCATGATGTGTGTGGTGGTCTGTGTGTCTGTGTCTGTGTGATACTTAATATTGACTGTCCACTTAACAGAATCTAGACTCACTTAGGAGATAAACCTCTTGGTATGTGTGTCTGTGTGTGTGTGATACTTAATATTGACTGTCCACTTGACAGAATCTAGACTCACTTAGGAGACAAATCTCTTGGTATGTTTGTGAGGGTGTTTCTAGATTGGGTTGATTGAAGTAGGAAGACCCACTCTAAATACAAGCAGCATCATTTAATGACCTGGGGTCCCAGGGTGAATAAAAAAGAAAAGGGGCTGAGGACCAGCATTCATCTCTCTCTTCATTATGACTGTGAATATAATCTGGTCAAATGTCTCAAGTTCCTGCCACATGACTTCCTCTACTTGTGAGACTATACCTTTGAACTCTGAACTAAAATAAACTCTTCCTTCTTTAAGCTGATTCTGTCCAACATTTTGTCAGCACAATAAGAAAAGTAACTAATACAGAAAATTGGTATCAAGAGTGGGATGTTGCTGTGATAAGCCATACCATGTGGTTCTTAGCCCTTTGTAACTAGTTTTCAGGAAGACTGCAGTAATTAGGAACTGTAGACTAGAAAAGCCCTAGAATGCACTAAGCAGAGCTTAATGGGCCATTCTAGTGGGAGTTTGAAAGATCAGTTTGCCAAGAGAAACACAGAAAGTAGAGGTCTGGCTCATGAGGTTTCAGAGGGAAACAAAGACTATCAGGAACTCGGCTAGAGGCCATTTCTGTTATATTCTGGCAAAGAATTTAGCTGCACTGTACTTGTGTCCTGAGAACTTGAGTAAGGCTGAATTAAAATTTAAAGGACTAATTTTATTGAACAGAAGAAATTCAAGGCAGAGGAGCATTCATGCTGTGTCATGGTTACTGCTCTTTGCTCTTAACCAGGTTGACAGTGAGGGAGAACAATGAGAAGAGCAAAATAATATAAAAAATATGCTATTTAATGGGGGAGAGGAGAGGTTTTAAAGCTTTAGGCAAAGTGGTACTGAGAAAGCAGCTATAAAGGTTAAATAAGGTAGTATCATTAAAGAGAAATTTCCTGCACTGAACTAGGACAATAGGAAAGGTGCCCTGAGGTGAGGGCAAGACCCTCACCTATAAGATGTTTTGGACTGTGAAAAATGCAAACTCATTTGAAAGAAGAGAACCTAAATTCAGAAGCAGCAGCAGGGGTTCCTTGTTCAAAGACAACTGCCTAAGAAAGTGTTTTCTCAAATTCAGAAACCAAGACACATAAATGTTACTACATATTTGGTTGTGGGGGAGAGGGATCTCCATCTCAAGCTGACAGCAGAATTTAGCAGTATCATTCACAAGGTACTGGTTTGTAGGCACATTATACAAGACTGAGGGAATAATGAAGTCTTGTGCTACAGTTCCAAAGTGCTCCTTAGGCCAGGTAATGTGCAGCAGGATCAGAGTCCCTGAAAAGAGACTCTGAGAGGCCTTTGCTTAAAGTTATCAAAGTGAAGCCTAAGTTACAGTAGAGATCCCAACATGTTGTAGATACCAGAACCATAGGATTGAGGAAACATCCACTGAGGAAAGCTGAAGAAATGTAGTGTAGATGGACCAAGAGAGAGAGGCTATGTGTGCTGTAGGAAGCAAAGTTGGAAGGGCAAGATTACCCAAGACCTTTGGACCACATATGATTCCAACAAGAGCTCCAGATGCTGGATATGGAACTATAAGAGTTGATGTTTGTACTGCTGGGTTTCAGTCTTGCTTTGGTCTGATCTTTCCTTGCTATGACATCATTCTTCCCTTTTAGAATAGGAATGGTTATTCTGTGGTATTGTATGTTGGAAGTATGGTGACTTTTTTTTATATTATTAAGGCTCACAGGTAGATTGTCTATGTCTCTGAAGAGACTCTGCACTTACACTTTTTAATAGTGTGGTAACTATTAAAGACTATGGGGATATTTTAAGCTGAACTGAGTATAAATTGCATTGTGAGATGACCATGAGCCTATGAGGACAAGGGGTGGAAGGTTATGTTTGGGTGTAAAGTGGACAAGGAATGGACTTATGTTAATACTGGTTGTCAACTTGATAGACTCTAGAATCACTTAAAAAACTTCTGAGCATGAGGAAATTAATAGACTGAATTAACTGAGGTTGGAAGACCTCTCCTAAATATGGGTAGCACCATCCCATGGGCTGGAGTTCAGGACTGCATTAAAAAGAGAAAAGTATCTGGACATGAGCATTGCCCTCAGCTTCTGATTGTAGATACAATGTCATTTGCTGCCTCAAGTTCCTGCTGTCATGCTTTGCCTTCAGTGAGGGCCTGTACCCTTAGACTGTGAACCAAAATAAGTCCTTCCATCTTGTTTCTCAGGTATTTTGTTGCAACAATGAGAAAAGTAACTAATACCTATATGTACTGCATGAGAATGGTGTATGGTTTGAGTACAGAAGTGTATAGTGTTTCTATATAGGAATCTATGTGATGGGAAATATGAATTGTGTATACATGTAATGTGTCCATGATGTGTGTGTGGTATGCATGTTGATATATATGGTGGGTCAATGCTCAGGTATGATATTGTATAGTATAACTGTACAAAGTTGGTTTAGTGTGTATATCATATATGTCCTGTGTGTGTTATATGTGTTTTGTAGGTACAGAGTTTACATGTGACATTTTTGTAGTATGTAATATAGAGATATAGATATAGATATATGTGTGTGTTTGTGTGTATATACACATATATATATATCTGTATATTAGGTCTGTCCATGGTATACAGAAGAGTTTGAGGGAGTATTGAGTGTGGTAGAGGGAGGTGAGTGTTTATGGTGTCTGTGTGTTACAGATGGTGTTTGTGGTATTCCTGGCATATGTGTCCTCTGTGTGGTTAGTGTTTTTTATGTATGTGTGTGAGTAGTGTGTATGATATGCATGGTATATATGATATGATATGGGTTAGAGGAGGGTTATGGAGGGTGTGGCTCAAATAGACATAGGAGCAGCATGGATGGGAAGCAACAGCCCCAGCTGATACCAGTATTAGGCCTAGTAGTTAACCAGACTCCAGGGTATAGACCCACACCAAGAAGCACATGAGAGGCATGAAATGGAATTGCTAGTCCTTTAAAAAACAAAAAAACCTAATATAATTCTTAATAAAAGGACAGATAATAATGGAGGACATGAAATTGGGAGGGAGAAGCATTTAGTAGACAGAGGTGGAACAGGGGAGGGATCAGAATATGATCGAAATACATTGTGTGAAATTCTGGAGTCAATTAAGATGACATTATATAAAGGGCTGGACAGATGACTCAGTAGTTAAGAGCACTGGCTGCTCCTGCAAAGGATCCAGGTTCAGTTCTGATTACCCACATAGCAGCTAAGAATCATCCGTAACTCCAGTTCCAGGAGATCCACGGTATGTTCTGACCTCCACAGACATTGTACACATATGGCGAATTTACATGCAGACAAAACATTCATACACATAAGATAAAATAAATCCATCAAAAACAATTTTAAATCATATGGAATCCTATTAATGTGCACAATTTTTATGTCTTTGTATCAACTAAAAATAAATTTAATGTAAAAATTTAAAGACAGTTAAAAAGAAGAAACCAAAAGAATAGACAAGGGAGGAGAATGTCTACTACATGATTGTTCTGTATGTGTTGGGAGAGATTCTGTGTTGTGATGTACTATGGTGTGGGAGGGTATGTAGAGTATATGTATTGTGTGATATGTTTATGTGATACATGCTACATGCATGTCTGAGTTTTTATATGGCATGTGGTATCTGGTGTGTGTATATATGGGATTTTGGCATGTGTTTGTGGTGTCTTGTATATAAGAATGGTATATGTGTGGTATGTGTCTGTGGTATGTGTCACAACTGTGGGTGTAGAATAAATCATGTGCTATTTTGTATAAAGTATGAGGTATATCTGTTTGTGAGCATATATGTGGTATGAAGGAGTTTGGAGTGTGTGTGATATGTATGATATGTGTGATTCAGTGTGTAGTGTTTCTAAAGAGACCATGGTGCTTTATTGTGTTTTCTGGCTACATATGTCATGGGAAGCACTGGCATTGGAAGTATGTTTGATATGTATGTGATACACAGAGTATGTGCATGTAGTGTGTGCTTATGTGGGTGCTATGGGGGGGGGTCAGGGTATATGTATGCATGGGGTGATAGATGATGTGTAGTCTCCTTGACTGCTTTGGGTACAATGTAATAGACATTTGGAGGGTACATGCTGTGATGACATAGTAGTATATGTGCAATTTACTGCTTATTTAATCTCATAACAAATCATATAAACCTATGAAGAGGGCATTTTTTAAACTCAAAAGAAAATCCTGGCAAACAGAATGGAGCCATCAATACCTCCAGAGCAACATCTAGGCTTCTCCTAGAAAGACAAGGTGCAGCTGAGTTTGGAAATGGCCATGGAGTGTTCATATCCACAAAATGGGGACAGTAGCAAGTGATCATGTCAATGGATGTCAGTGGATGAAGATAAAGATTTGGGCACCGTTGGCATCCACAGCTGGGAACAGGAGGATACTTCCATGCCTGACAAAGATATCCATAAAGACAACCGTGCTCACTTCACCCCAGCACTGAAATAACCTATGCCAGAACTGCAGCTGACAAGGGTGACCTCTCTCCGGCCCAGGGTCCCTGAATCACTGTGTTGAAGAAACTCATGTATTTGCTTTTGGAGGAAAGCTACTTTTCATTATCAGGAGTACTTACATACAAGCTTGATTCTCACATAGTTGGGATTTGTACCCCCACAGAAGAGGGAGATACAGAGAGCTCTAGGCCTCCTTCTCCCGCTGGGGACAGCTCAGCTGTTCAGCAACCTCCAGCCCAGGGTCCTGACCTCCATGGCCTTCAATGTGAGTGCAAGGCTTGAGCAAATAGAACTATGCTCATATCTGAGCTCTGCTACCCTTAGCACCCTTCCTGAGGCAAAGTGCCACATGTGGGAGAAGCTGCAATGTGTCCTCCAATGAGAAACAAGAGACAGCAGATGATGTGGTAACAAGTGTACCATCTAGAGGCTGGTGGGTGCTGAGGACAGGATCTGGTCCTGATATTTCCATCCTAGTCCTTGGCTCTAGACTGCTCTACCCATGCAGAGCAAGAGTGAGGAGACTACAGTGCTGAGGGGTAAGAGACAGAAGACCCTCCCAATACAGCATCTCTTCTGCTTCTGGGTAAAGAAACCTGGCCACGCAGCCCACCTGACTACTGTATGTCTTGGTCCCTGAACACACAAGCCTTGGTAACTGGGCAGCTGTGACAAAGTCCAGGTAAAAACATGAGTTGTCACTCTCCTCGGTGCAGCTGAACCAAGGTGACAGGTACCTCTAGACACTGTTCAGCCACTAACTTGTTAAACTATTGGTCATCTTGTACAAAGCTGCCATGTGAGTACCTATCACTTTGGGGAAAGTCCAAGGCAGGAGCCAGCATCCCAGATGAAGCAGAATGGGCAGTTTCCTTGGCTGGCATTGTGCCAGCCTATGTACCAGGGAGGCTGGGTGTAGAGTAGAGTCCTTGATCAACTATCCTAGGGCATCTGAAGCACACAGGGAATAGAAATGAGCTGGACCTGGGCCCCAAAGCAACTGTGCAGGGAAATGAGTGCAAACTTGCGGGGAGAGAATTGAAGGAATCCTGCCTGCTTCCTGCGCAGTCAACCACCCAGCTGTCTTCTCTGTGTCCCCTGTGTTCTGGCATCGGTGCCAGGGAGCTGTTCCACTTAAGAAGAGGTTGCTGATCCCCAGAGTGATGTGGTAAGTGAAGAAGAGTCTGATGGTAAGGAAGGATGCATTGACTTCTGAACTACAGTTGAGACGGGATGTCTGCTGTGAGGGACTCTCTTGGATGGGCAAAGGACTTTACCTGTTCTCCATGTCCTAGACAGGCTCCTGGAGTCACCGCCATAGAAACACAGGAAAAAGACAGTTATTCCTCGTGCTCAATGGCACAGGCATCCAGTGGGGAGCTACTCCCTTCTCTGTGGCAAAGAAGTACCTGCCTCTGCCACAGCGCCCATGTGGATTAAAGAAGGTTTCAGCTGAGTTGGCCTAACCTGGAGCAGGGCTAGGAGTATTTTATGGATTTAGGATTTGTTGGGTCAGGGATCATCATAGGACTCAACTGTGTAAGACCCCTCCCAGCTACATCAACATGGATGCTCTGTGTCCGCAGATGAGGATTTGGCATGCAAGTCCCACAGATGGTAGTTTCAGACAGCTGTTGCTGTGTCATAAGGGCCTCTGAAAATTCCATCTCAAGGGCAGACCTCCTTGAAAGGTGAGGCTAGAAGGGACACAGCATCTAACTCTTCCTCACTCTGATGTTTAAATGCTCTTCTTACAGAATTCTATGAAGTAGACATTACTGGTCATGGGTTTGGAAGTACAAAGGATAAGAACCAAGTTATCTGCAGATTCAAGTTCAAGGAGTCCACAGACAGAGTCATTGGTATGCAGCTCCCATGGTACTTCTGAGTCAATCATTTCCCATACAGCCTCATTTCTCTAAGTCAACCAAGCCTCCCACCCTTGCTAACCCTTTTTCAGTGCACACTGTGGGGCTAAAGACACGGACCTGTGGAGCAAGAGCTTGGTGGCATGCCTAACATGCCTGTCATACAAACGGGAAAATAATAAATCCCCAACCCCCAGGGTCATCTAGAACAGGCTTCGCTGCTCAGCAAGGCTGGCATAGTACTAGCCTATCCTGACAGCAGCTTTCTTCCCTGAAAACCAAATAAATACCCAAACCTGAAATCTTCCGGCGGGACAGAGCAGCAGCCTCCAGACTTGGAGCCTGCCAGGTACCTAGAGACCCTTTCCAGGAAGTCATTCATTACAGCATACAGAGGGAAGTCAGGGACCAGATAGGCAGAGAGGGGGAAGCCTAGCCAATAGGGATCCAGTTTAGCTCTCATCTCTTTAACCAACTCAGGAGGTTGGAGGAAACTGAGGAGGATTCCACTGCCACAGTTATGGAACTCTTGTCAGGCTCCAAAGAGAGGGAAAGAAAAAAATCTCTTTCCTTATTAAGTTTCCTCAGCCCAATAAATGGCACATCCATCCATTCACTTCCTCTGATCTAAATGTAGATGCCATTCTCTATCCCCACCCTATTCCTACACCCAGTCCACCCATGTCATGTGGTCTTTGTGTCCAGGATATCTGGAACCCGTGAAGCCCCTGACAGGTCCATCATATTTATAGTAAAACCCAAATCTCTTCCAAGAGCTCAAGCTTCCTGACTCAGTCCTTTCCCTGATCATCAGCCTCAGTAGATCCTGCCACAGTGCCTTGGCACTTGAATCTTCCACAATCCAGGAACCTCTTCCCTCAGGTCATTCCTTGGCTGCTCCTCATCTGATTAGTCTAAACTCAAATGTCAGCAACTCATAGAGAATCAGTTTCAATAGACATGGTCCTCAGTCCCCAAAGTACTGTAGACCTGGACTTGAAACACTCATCGCTTATGCTCAGTATTTTCAAACCCATTATCTAGTTCCCTGAAACCCCTCAGCACTGAATATTTTAATCAAATTCCAGGCAAAACATCGTTTCATGTGTAAATACTTCTGTTTATTTAAGTGAGAAATTATACATCCGAAAGAAGGGACAAGCCAATGTAAACACACTTGGGTCCTCTCTCTAGCTTGCCTATCCTCTTTGCTCATTCATGTCACAGCATGCTGCACTCTGGCTTTGCTGTTGTCTTCTTTTCATTTTGGTCTCTGACCCTTGGTCCACAACAAGTGAGCCCTGGGATGCAGGAACCCTTGCTGCCTGTTCCTGCTGGGCACCAGAGTACGGTTCAGTGCTTGGGTACTGGGCAGAGTTGGGATTCAGCAAGTATCTTTGAATAGAGGCAGAGAGGAGAAGCTGATCATCAGCCAGTTGTAGCTCTGCAGACAGAGGTGACAGTGGTAGAAGGGCACCCTCATTAATGAGCTTGTGTCATTTCCTTTTAGATGAAAAACCCATCAGGATGACTGATACTACCATAATTTGTCCTGGACCAAAGATAGAAAAATCTGCACAGTAAGTGCCCCTCGTTGGAGGTCTTAGCCTTAGAGAGACCATTGGTCAGTATTTGCCATCATGGTGTGGAATATGGGATGTTTCCTGTCCTGTAGAGTATCTATCTGCCTGCAGGTGGGCTCCAGCATCCTCCCACCCACCTCTGCTGGTGACATCCATGGTGCTCAGGGATACACAGTGCCTAGGCTCTGCTGAGGGAAGGAAGCAAGAGATGATGAGGGTCCAAACCTGTGCTCCAGGTGACCTTTCTGAGCTAAGGCAACAAAGTCTGTCATAAGTCAGCATCCATTCCTCTCTGATTCCTTAGCTCATGGCCACAATGGTCATACATGATAGCCTCTCATGGCCTAATCTGTAGCTCTTCACCATTATTTCAGAGGTTGACTCCTTATGCTTTGTGGGGTAAAGTCTCTCTGTCCACTTGTCCACTCTCAGGGAGTCAGTCCCATGCTAGAATTTCAAAGTCATTATCGTGAGGATTGCTGTGTTTTGTCACACTGAGTTTCCCAGGCTTTGCTCATTATATCCTCCTTTCTGTGCATCAGGGAGGTCCTTCTTGAAGTCAGCCTGAACAACGGTGTCTCCTTCATCGGGAACAAACTTAGTATAACTAGTACCAACTGTGTGAGCATGAGGGTAAGAATATACATCCCCCGAGTTTGTGTGGATCCACTTAGAGGTCAAGTGGAGAGGGCCCAAAGCAGGCCTGAAAGCAACTGTGAATGCAAGTACTCAGATGGCCCTCATCAGTTTCTAGAAGGGCCAGCCAGCAGGATAGGTGCAAGGCTGTCTCCCACAGACTGTCCAGGACATCTAGGCCACACAGTGCCTCCATATGGGTATCCCACACTCAAGAATCCAGAAGCTGTGCTAGTAGTAGTCAAAGGGTGTGTGCCAGTAAGCTGTATCCCCAGCTGCTGATATGCACCCAAATCCATTCAGGCCTCCGCCCCCAAGCGTGCTGGGTGATGGCTATCATTTGAAATGTCCTCAGCCTACCCCTGTCACCTCTTCCTTCTCCAGCTGCCCTTCTGCCACCTTACTCTCACCAGCAGGATATTCTTTCCTGCTGTGGTAGAGGAGCTATCAGGCATGTGGTTTGCTCAGTTCAGCCAGGGCCCTGGGAGGGAGGGTGCTTCTCCTCACCTTCTTCTCAGTTGCTACTTTCCCAGCTCCACATACATCTGCCAAGCATCTGAGTCCAGTACAGGGTGACAGGAGGGCGTCCCAGGGAAAAGGAGACTTATGCCCACTTGTCACCTCCCTTGGGATCCTCTCAACTTATGAGAACCCCACAAAGTTGACAGGACCGTTCTGGGTCTGCCTACCTCATTCCTCACATCCACACAGATCTGTAGGCTGAACTCAGGTCTGTGCCCAGCAGGAGTCGATCCACTGATACTACCTGAGCACAGGCAAATAGGAAAGAGCCAGGACATCCCTGTGGCTCCAACCCCAGCAGTAGCCATCACTGCCACCTGCCACATGACCTCTGCTTTCATTCAAGCAGTTTCTGCTTCCCAGGTGCCTCCTCTTGGTGCCATCTGCAGCTCTCTCACTCTGAGGAAGTCCATGGCTCAGGGAAGAGCTAAGCAGGCTACAGTCCACTCTGACAACCAGGAGAGCAGTCCCCATCCTAAAGCCCCTGTAGCCTGGGCCTGAGCCAGGACCATGCCTGAGCTCTGAGCCCCCAAATGCCCATGAAGGAGGGCACTGCTTGCCCTGTGCACATTACAAACTGAGACTCAAGGGGTTGGGGGGAAGAAGGGTAAGGCACAGGCTACAGAGCTGAGAGACACAAAGAGGGGTCTTGGGAGGTGGATCTGGGTCTCCTGGCCCTCTACCTCTCAGTTGCCCAGCAGCCTGACCCTTTCCCAGAGATCTGGTCACCTGTAACCTAGTGCCCTATCAGACTAGACCAAGTGTGGGGCTGGGGTCCTCAGAACATGGAGGATTCTGGGTCATCCTTACCTGGGCTCAGGGTAGAAACATTGGAGCAGAGGTAGACTTACTGCTCTCTGGGGATCAACCCTGGCTCCTAGCCCCACTGTGGTCGCTTGTGTCTAGGCAACCTGGGGAGGAGAGAGAGAGAGAGAGAGAGAGAGAGAGAGAGAGAGAGAGAGGAGAGAGAGGGAGAAAGAAATAGGAAACAAGGGGGGGGCATGGGGGAAGGAGAGAGAGGAAGAAAGAAATAGGAAACAAGGGGTGGGCATAGGGGAAGAAGCCATGATGCTATCCACCACAGGATGCCGACGCTACATTCAACTGGAACTTACTTCTCTTCCTGACTGCCCTGCTCCTGATCCCACTGCTGCTCTGGTGCTGTTGGAGGCTGTGCTGCAGGAAGGTGGGTGTGCTCCTACCAACCTCACCCACCTTGTCCTGGCACCCATACACATATACCTTCCCTCCAAGGAACACAGAACCTGGCAATGCTGCAATCCAATCTGCTAGTGGTTTTCCATCAGTTCCAAGGCCATCACAGGATCCAGGAGGGCACAGAGTCTTAATTTTGAACTTCCAAACCCTATATCGGCCTGGACTCTAAGAAGCCTCCTGCCCAGCTGGCACTGGAATTCAACCTGGGATGCCTTGGCTCTAGGCTAGGATTCACCTTGGAGAGAGGGAGGCCACCCCAGCACCATTAGATCAGGGCTATCTTGCATCAGCTATACGTTTACAGGCCTCATCTGGACAAAACCTCAAAAGTGTCCCTGTGAGGTGGGAGGACATGGTCCCTCATGAAGTACCAATGGTCCAATATGCAAGGTGATACCCATCAGGCAGGATTACTAACCCCTGGGACAGAGGTGCCCTTAACACCAACTCAGATCTCTGCACATTTCTAGTGTCTTCTGCCATTCCTCCACCTGCCATTACTGAGCCCAGTGTTCATTATATAGCCCCACACTATGCTGCAGAGGCAGTGAGGAAGCAGAGCCATCTACTCCCCTAGGGAGCTCAGTGTTCAAGCTTAAGGGTAAAATTCCACTCATCCTGAGATGCAACCAGAGCCCAATAAAGCAGAGCAGTAGCTAGGGGTGAGCCTGGTGCCCTGGGTCAAGAAGGAAAACTGAAGAATTGGTGAGCTGGGATGGAAAGGAAACTTCCAGAGAGCTAGAGAAAGAAGAGAAAGATGCTGCCTTGGGGAGGACAGAGCATGAAGCACAGAGCTAGAAGGTCCAGCTCTACCCAAGGACACAGTAAGCAAAGAAAGCTGGTGACCAGACTGGCAGGTGTGGAAGCCAGAGAGGGCTGCGGAAGAGTAAGCAAGGACAGGTGCAGGTTCTGCTACAAGTAGGATGAGGGCAGGTGTGTAGCACTCCGGATGCTGGGGACTCCCCAGGGACCAGCACCTTGTTCAGCTGGCCTCCCTTGTACCAGGTAAGGACAGGGTTCCCTGGGGCCAGATGGCGGCTGTTGAGCACAGCATCACAGGCACTGGGCACTCATATAAGCACCCTGAGGCTATGTTGTCTCCCTGCTCCAAGCTAGGGTCCCCGTTATCTGTAGGGCCAAGACAGAGCCCACCCTACCCACTCCGGCCCACTTATGTCTGTTTCATGTTCCAGCCTAAGGAGCCAACACCACCACCACCACAGCCAGTGAAGGTAAGTTAGCGGGGGCGGGAGGCACAGCATTGTCACACTGACCTTTAAAAGAGGTATCATGACGCCCAGGCCTAGAATCATTAACTTAGCAGTGAACAGGAGACTTTAAGGTCCAGGAGAGTATGGGAAAGCCATGGGAACCTAATGTCACCCAGACAGCATCCTGACAAGCTCCCAGCATCTCCCAGTCCTGGCCTTCGTAACACTGTCATTGCCTTGGGGATCTGTTCTAGCACATGTAGCTGTTCCTAATGAATTGGTGTCTCTCAGAGCACCCCATAGGACTCTGTAGGGTGCCGAGGTTCTAACTGGACTCTAAGAAAAGAAGTTACATTTACCGGTCATGGTGGTGCACACCTTTAATCCCAGCACTCAGGAGGCAGAGGCAGGTGGATCTTTATGAGTTCAAGGCTACCCTGGTCTACATAGCCAGTCCCAGGCCAGCTGGGGCTACAGCTTGGGACCCTGACTCAAAAATACTAAAAGAAAAAAGAAGTTGCATGTACCAGATCCAGGTCCCCATTTCCAGGCTTGGAGTCTGCCTTCATCTCTGTCTCCTGGCTAGGTCAAGGGTTTCACTGGGCTCAGCCTAGGGACCCCAGGACTGGGGAAGGTGGAGGATATCCTGGTTGTCCCTGAGCTGTAAGGGATGTCCCCAGGGAACTTAGGGACCAGGTGGGTGATCATCTGTGGTTTAGTGGAGTGGGGACCAGAAGAGGTAGTGAAAGGCTGAGACAGGCAGGGGCAGGGCCCAGCTGAGAAGGAATCATCTCCCTATCTAGGTGGGACTAGTTTGGCTTCAGTGGCCTGGGGAGGCTGCCTCTACAAAGGCCAGAGCCAAGTAGAGGGGACATTCACCTGTTAGTGTCTGCCTCTGCACAGCTTCCAGGCCGGGCATGTATCAGCAAAGGTGGTCTCAGGAGTCTCGGGAGAAACAAGGGCACAGAAGTGGGCTGTTGGCACTTTGGGAAGCTCCATATCTGCAAAGCAGGGAGAGGAATTTGATTGTTCTTCTCATGGAGCATATTCACAGACTGTGTGGTACATCTTTCCATACACTCCAAAACGCTAACTAAATGGCCCCACCGTACAGGTACTATGCATTCATCCCTGCCCCAGGAGCTGCAGACAAGACACAGACCAGTGCTTTTTATTTCTAGGAACCAGAAGAAGAGAACCTGCTGCCTCCTCCTCATCCTCCACCACCACCTCTTCCTCCATCTCCATCACCTGTCAACACAAACCCTACTGTGATTGTTGCCTGCTGTGGCTGTGGGAGCAGAGGGATGCAGGTTACTAGGAGATAGGGAGACTGTGACCCTAGGCTGGGCTCAGGAGGACAGGCACAGTTGGCTCTCAACAGAGAGGTCCTGAGTGTGGGAGGGAAATCAGCTCTGTGGACAGGGCATGTATCACTTTGTACCTGAAGACACCTGAATCCCTGTCCCTGTTTCACAGCCAGGGGAGAGCAGTACACACACTACACTACAAGACTGAGACCCTGAGTCTCCTACAGTTAGGCCCAGGGTCTTCTGACCTCTCTGTCTTCCACTGCTCTCTACCCTGGACTATTGCACCTGATCCTGGGCCCCTTGCCAGTCTGCTCTATGTAACCCAAGTACAGGCTTCTCCAGCTTCCTAGAGCTCCTGTCAAAAACCTTTGCCAAACTCGCAGCTCCCCTGAAGGCCTCTGCTTGCCACCACACACCCCTACAGCCTCTGAACTTCTCCAAAGCCAGCTCCTGACTTCTCTTCCTGCCAGAAGCATTATTTTGTTTCAGATTCTAAAATTCTCTGTGTCCCACAGTGACCACCCCTTATACCCAAGATTGTGGGCTCTTACTTCTCAGGAAAGGTTGAGGATTTGACTCGTGTTCTTAGGGACACAGTCCTGGGTAATGTGAAGTCTGTCCCTTCTGAAGGCAGCTTCTGCTCTATGCAGCTTGCTCACTGCCACGTCTGCTTTTCAGGGCAACCTGGAGCCTTGCTGTGGCTATTTTCACCCAAGCAGCCACCAGGTGCCATTGATGTGGTGCCATCCCACGGTAAGCCAGACCCAGAGACACTCCAAGGCACAGAATGGCCACTGTTTTTATCCTTTAAACTTTTGACGTGCTGGCCCAAAAGCTTAATGTGAGTGGTGAACCAAGAAGCATGGATATCAGTTGAAACCTCTAACTCCCTTCAGGGCACAAAGTGAGGTGTCAGCTGAGAACTCTCTTCAGAACACAGATTCAGGTGGGCTTCAGCTGGGACCTGCAGCCTTCCTGCAGGACACAGTTAGCCCACAGCACTAGTCTTATGTGAACAGAACCAGATAGTAGTCTAGCCTACTGGGCAAGTTCAGTCAGGTTCCCACATGAAGGCTCTGTGGGGTGCCTTATCAGCTAGCCCATCTGCCTGAATAGGGAAAGACCTAAGTGGGAACCCACTTAAGACCACCTTACAATGACTCAGAGGTTAAAAGCACAGACTTCTCTTACAGAGGGCCCAGGTTCTGGTTCCCAGCACCTACATGGCAGCTAACAACCATTCATAACTCCAGTTCCAGGGTATCAGATACCTTCTTCTGCTCTCTGAGGGCATTGCACTCATGGCTGTACCTATATACATGCAGGCAAAGTATTTACACTCATAAAATAAAAATTAATAAACAAATACAAATTTCTAAAAGACCAGTGTGAGTGACTTAACCCCAGCCCAGCAGGAGGTAGTGAAGGCAGCAGTAAGGGGCCCTACTCTATGCATGACATCTTCTGCCAAAGGCCATTGTGTCTTCCACAGCCTCCTTTCCAGAAGGTCCCTTCAGGCAGTGCCTCACCCATGCCCTCATTCTAGAAAGGCAATAAAAGCAGCAGGGTTAAGGTCCTGATGGAACTGGGGTGTACCTCTCCCATGTTCCCTGCCCTACCCAGTGAGAAGGCCTTTTCTGAGCTCCCTTTCTGGAAATAGCATGCAGGCACGGGGACTTGAAGGAGTCCTACAGGTTAATGAATCAGTGAAGAAGGGGCCTGGCCTTCCACTCGCAAGAGTTGCTGCTTCCTAAAATCTCAGTTGCTTGTTCCAGTTAATCCATACATGCTAGTGCTTCAACACATCATAACCCAAGAAATTCTAAAAAGCCTCAGTTTACCAGAAACCTGGGCATTTTTATAACAGAAGTAGATAGTTTTGTTTACTTCTAATATTTTGCAAAATGAACATCTGTTCCCTTGGCCTTCAACTTCCCAAGGGAATTTTTCTGTTTGGCACCATCTCCTCCATGAACACAAAAAGTTCAATCCAGTTTTATGAATCTTGAGCCAAACTCATGGAGGTCCAGAGTCTCTTCATTGTGTGTCTTGTCTCATAGTAGCCTGTTAAGTTGACGGAAAACAGGTCTCCGAAATCACACACAGTGTGGAAAATCTCAGCCTGTCTTCTAGACCAAAATGCCTTCAAGAATGATATGGTGTTTCCAATTCCACTCACCTTCTTCTGCCCACCATGGTGGGAGCTGATCAGAGCCTGGACCTTATTTTATTCTCACAAATGCCTCAGAGTAGTAGCTACCATTTATATAGACACTGTTATAAGGACTTTCAACAGATAAATAATCAAGCCAACAGCTCTGTCATTGGAAGCTATAGAGACCCTGCAAAGTCAAGCATTCTGTCAGCAGTCACAGAGTCAGGAGGCAGAAAGAATAGCACCCAGCAGCCTGACTCCAGATTCCTCATTAAATGTGCAACTCCTTCTCTATCTTCACAGCTATGGAAACTGAGACACTGACATTTCATTTGGGGCTCAGCATGGCAAGGTTCTTGAGTGGTATGGTCAGGAAAGGCTCACTTCTATGTTCTGTCGCAGGTGTCATGTTAAGACAATCCATGGAGATGTTTGGGCAGTATATTTTTCTGTACTTTTTATGAAGTATAAGACATGCAAACTGGATATGACTATTTTATCTTTTCATAGTACTAGGGATTGAACCTTCAGCCTTGCTTTGCTAGGCAAGGGTTCTACCACTGAATTATCTCCCTATTCCTTTTCTAATCCTTTATTTTGAGTATTAAACTTACTGAGTTTCCAAGGTTGGCCTTGAACTCACTCTGTAGCACAGACAAGACTTGATCTTGTGATCCTCCTGCTTCAACCTCTCAAGTGGCTAGGATCACAGGCTTGCACCAACCAGACCCAACTAATATATCTTGAAGTCATACACTGTTGCTTACAGACACCCTAAATTCAAGCTCATCTGTGTTTGATGGGAAACTTGTTCTGGGGAGCAGTTAAAGCTTGATAATAGATAGGCTATGGGTCATGTTCATGAGTGAGAGACTCCTGCATTCTCCTCCTTCTTACCTTGTACATGGGGAGAGTTAGACCAAGAAGTTTGCATGAAAAAGCCAGGATATGGTGTTCAACTGCTCTGGAATCCTAACTTATGACTGGCCTGCAAGCCAGTATCTTTTGAGAAAATCTCAGATCCTAATTTGAGATTGTGATGTCAGCAGACTCCCCTCTAATTCTTCACCCCTCACATGCCCCCATAGATATATACAGTCCCATGTGATAATCAGGAGCTCCATATATAGAGCTAGAACTCCAAAGCACTATAGGAAAGGCTATCAGTCACTTTGAGAAATGTCCCTCAACTGTGTACCAATGAGGGGAATGATAGGCTGTAGCCAGAATCCATTCAGTCACAGTCTACAGGTGTCTCCTGCTGTGTGGAGTCCTCTCCTTTATGACAGCACCAGCTCCATTACTCAACACTAGTGTCTTACCCATCTGCTCTTGAATAAGTCAAATTCTCCCACAGCACCAAAAGTATCAGGCCTGGAGTGATTATTCTCATATTGGAGAAGTAAGTAGAAAGAAATATACTAGAAATTTGCATAAAAGTTTCCATCCTCTTCATAACAACAACAAAACCCAAAATGTTTATCCATGCATAAGAATAACAAATATACAGGACTGGAGAAATGGCTCAGTGGTTAAGAGCACTGACTGCTCTTGCAGAGGACCCGGGTTCAATTCCCAGAAGCCACATGGCAGCTATGAACCATACTTAACTTCAGTTCCAGGGGACTCCAATGCCCTCTGACACATATGTATTCACATACATGCAGGCAATGCAGTCATACACATAAAATAAAAATAATAAGATATTTTTAAAAGAATAACAAAAATACACTCACCTATGATGAAAAGAAATTGCAAAACTACATTTGTTAGTAGAAGAGGTTTGAAAATATGACAGTCAGATCCATAATCCCAATTTTTCTCAAAGGAATTCATGAACATAATGTAATTTTAATGAAAAGTTTAATAAAATATTTTAAATCATTTTATTCATATGATTCCAAAGTCCACTTGCTATAACAAACAGAGGGTTTTAGAAGTGCTAAGAAATTTTTGAGAAGGAAAAACATTGAGGACAGATTTGCCTTCTCCTGTATTAATACATTAAGCACCAATAATTAAAAAAATAGTTTAAAAAATAATGCCCCCCCCCATCAATCAAATACTACCTGGAACTGTCAGGTTGGGAAAAAATGATCCAGAATTCCTTACAACTGCAGTAATTTGGTGACACTGTAGCCCATGGTGGTGATAGAATGTATGAACACTTGGGTATGTGTATAATGATTGTTTAACAAATGATTTTTGTAAAAAAAAACACTGTCTAGCTATTATAGAAAGACATAAATTGAAATCTTATTTCATGACATACTAAAATAAAAGCAAGTATTTTTAAAAGTAAAATATGTGGAAATACAATAGTAGCTGTTGATCGCACTGAGTGGCTAAAGCTTTCCAGGTTTTACCTTCTGATCTCAGAAAAAATGAAGTCCCACTATACAAAACTGCAGTTGTGGAGAATGTTGGGAATGCTATAGAGAAGCTGAGGCACTTGATCCTGACTCCAGATCCAAGCCAGGCCTCCTGGCTGCCCATCCCTGCTGGTTTTCTTCTTCACTTCACAGGTGAAACCCCACAGTAGGACATGAAGAGACACAAGTTGAAATATGTAATGGGCAGCAGCTGCCTTTCCTGGAGTGAGGGCTAAAATGGACATTTTCCCAGTATGGGGAAGGAGAGTGAGAAGGAAGGTGAGGGCACAGTGGGAAACCTCTGTTCTAGGTCAGGTGTGAGGGACAGAGACAAAGGGCGAATTCCCTATCCCCATCTCCAGCATCTCCAGACTTCTAGACAAGGGCTAATGCCTGCTAGTGACCACTCATATTGTTTAACCCTTAGTTATGATTTAGTAGTTTATCTGCCAACCAGTTCAAAAGTATATGTGAGAATGGGTCATCACAGAGCCAACTGGAGTCTCCAAAGAGAAACTTTTTTAAATGCCTTGCAATTTTGAAATTTAATTATTAATAATTATTTATTTTATTAATCATTGTATTTATTAATAATTAATGAGTAATTAACTATTAATATTTAAAGAAGAGAAAATCCTTCAAGCTCTGCCCATCAATTTTTTTTTTAATGTGTATGGGTATATTGCCTACATGAGTGTAGGTACATCTATGTTATGCAATGCCTGCTGAGGTCAGAAGAGGGCGTTGGATCCTCTGGAACTGGAGTTACAGACGTTTGTTAGCCACCATGTGGGTTCTAGGACCCGAACCCAGGTCCCTGTAAGAGCACCCAGTGCTCTTAAGTACTGAACCATATCTCCAGCCTCATCTGCCCATCAATTTTAAGGGTTTAGCCAAGGTTTTGCTTTGACAGGCATACCTGGCTTGATTCTCATTTGTTTAGTTGGTTGGTTAGTTGATTTGGGGTGGCCGTTTTGTTTGTTTCGTTGGTTTGGGGTTTGCAGGGGTTGGGGCTTTTGTTTTTGCTTTTGTTTTTGGAAGATGGCCTTGATCTTAGTCTGTCTGATCCTGGTTCAAATTTTCCTCACTTACATGGAACTTGTTTTGGAAACTGGCACATGTTGAGCTCATCTTTGCATTACTACTTTATCCTTAACACAGGAAATTCTTTTCTTCAGAGATCAGAATCTATCTTAGATGGTGGAAAATTCCCTAATGCTCTTAATGTCCAACATTTACAATGTTTCTTTTTGCCCTTGAAGTTTAGAAACAAGCAAGGAGTAAAAGAACTCAATTATTTACAGATACATGTAAGCAAGACAAAATGAAAATAATAATTCCCACAAAAATCTTTAAGTGTGCAGAGGAAGAAAAATAATTTTACCTGCAAAACCAAGGCTGAATTCACCAGAAAAAAAAAAAAAAAAATGAGGTCCTTGCGACATAATGTAAGTTCAGAGGAACCAGAGCTCTACAACCAGAAATATACTTCTGATGATACTAGAAAGAAAAATCTTTAACTATCCTAAGAGAGATCCCAGGTTATTCAAGGCAACTTATGTAAAACAAATCAAGTCAGTAGGGACTTTACCAAGAAGAGGGGGATTCAACTTGAGAAAAGGCTCCTCAGGGCAGAAAGGTAAGTCATAGAAACAGGGAACAAAGGGCTCAATGCTGGTACCACGGCCAGTTCCAGGCGCCACCTATTTTCTCTGAGAGTGGGCTTGCGTCTGTCCTTCCTCTGATACCAAATATGCCAAATTAATCAACAGTCTTGGAAATTCTCCAAAGATGATGATTTACTTGGGAGTATCAGAGCCCTGCAGTGGAGAGTCAATGTCATAGCAAACTGTGTGCGTATGAAAGGAGGGAGAATAAAGGGAAATTTTAAAGGTAAAATGAGGTTTATATGAGTTATTTTGCAATAATAGCCCTTGGCCACAAGGAATTGTGAAAGAAGATTAAAGGATCAAGAACAAAGGTGGCATCAGTCCAAGCTGAACAGACAACAGTGGGATATTTTTGTATAAGGGATTCTAAAGGTGATGCATCTTTAGGCATGTGGGTTATGAGCTGTTGTATATGTAAAGCCATTGATGTGAAAGCTTTGTGGTCGTCTTTGGGCCATGTTGTGGTCCCAGCAGTCTTTGTAATAGATAGTTTTCTACATGAATGTCTTCCTTCATAAATTCTCAGCTTTCTCTATTTTAATTTTGGTTTATATTAAAACTTGACACAAACAACTCCATGTTGATTATGATTTAATTTGATTCAAAGGAGCATCAACAAGGCCAGCACTGTCAGTTCAGTCCTGATATGCCCTGATTTCATGTTAAGTCAGCCAACTTCAGCCTTCTCGCCCAGTTCCTCTGACATCTCAGGGACCTTCACTCTCTTCTCTTTCTTCCAGGGGAGGTGCACCAACTTCGACTGCACACAGGCCTCCTGCAACCCAAAGATCTGCCTTCCACCCAATATGGACTATTTACATCTCACTCAACCATCCTGCACCTCACAGACTGTCCTTCAACCCAGCAGGGAATGTTTCGATATCCAACAACCATCCTGTTCTCCAAACATCTGCCTTCGAACCAGCCGAGAATGCCTCCCTGTTGCACAGACTCTGGGACCCCAAAAGATATGCCTATCACCCAACCAGGAGTGCTATTCCTTCAACAACTATTCACAGTGCCACCAGTCCCCACCCAGATATACCAAGTCTCCCTCCAGGATGCTACCTCTGCTCCCTCCCCGTGCCCGTCAATCTATAGAATCCCTTGGCCATGCCCGCCCTCATCACCCAACCTCTAAAGGACTAAAATTCGAAGATTAAGAGGCTTTTGTTTGTTGAATTGGGCACATGTATAAGGTCTTAGGTTGTAGTGGAAAAGCTTTGTCATTTGCTGCTAATCAGCAAACTTGTCACCTGGGGAGGTGTTTCACTGTCTGTGATAAATTCATGCTGCACTTGCCAAGACAAACCTCCCAGATGCCTCAGCCCCTATAATTCTGTCTGTGTCTATTCACAAAGGTGGGACAAATGAGATCTTCTGCAAAGATCTCTGTGAAACAACTTCCTCCCGGTTTTTCAAATACTGAGTATCTTTCCTGAAGTTTTTGCAAAGAGAAGTACTTGCTTTTTTTTCATGTGTATTGTGTGTTCCTAGTTTCCATTTTCTAGCTATTCAAATTTTTGAATGTATCTTAGAAGGAAGAAAAGTCCCTCTGTCCAGATATGCCCTGCAGTCCCCAAGCCCAAGGGATTCCAATGGATCCCCTGTACTTTACTGGATCGGGCAAACCTCATCTATGTGTCCTTCAAATTATGGTCTTAACAGAGCTGTGTATTGTAAACAGCATTCTACCACCCAACATGTGCATCAGTGTCTCTGTCACCCTGCAAGTACCAGGTACACAGTTACTGGAACTCCAGGATCCTCTGGAGTCCGTAGTTCACTACAGTCCAGATTGCCGGTTGTCCCAAATCTTGACAGTTAATGAAATGATGGCTCTCCAACCTCCCTGTTTCCTTGAAGGCAATACTCAGGCTTTGTAGGTGAATTTCTCTAAGGTAAGTATAGGTGAAAATATACCAAGTCAACCAATGTTGATTGAATCAGTGGATAATGATGATTGTACCATCCTCCATGTTTTCAGAACAAGGGGAGTACTGAGGTGCCTTGAGGTGAAGGTATTTTTTGGTGTGTTTTGAAGTCTTTCTCTTTATCATATAACTTTCACTTTCATTCAAGAAGTTTCTCTTTCTTGTCCTTTACCCAAATTCCTTGTCCAGTACTGTCTTGAGCTTTCACAACCTTGGCCCCACATCAGGGTCTCACCTGTTGCTTGGGTAGAATCTGAGCCTCTCCAAACTTCCTAGTGCTTTCCTATTTCTAGAAGCTGTTTTCCGTTGTTAACTCAGCGTCCTTCATGGAAGGAGTGGAGGTAAATTGGGACAGAGTGGAGGTAAATTGGGATAAGGTGCACACTCAGATCCCACCAACCCTAACCCATTGCCAAAGGCCTGAGGTGCAGCAATCTATACAGCTGGAATAGAGAGGGCAGAATTGGGCCTTAAGTGATTAGGTCTTCTGCCTGCATCCCAGGGTTCTGTTGCTCCCCTAGGGTGCCTTACCTTCTACAGTCAAGGGCTGAAACAGAAGGCTCTCCAGGCATGCGTAATGATGAAGCTTAGCCTTCAAGTCATCTATTGCCAAAGTGACACATCTAGAACTTCCAGAGTGTAGATGGAGCCTTGATTCCTAGAATGTCTTTCTTCTATGCTAGTCCCTCATCCTAGAAGTGGGAGAGGTCATAACAGAACCTCGGGTGGTCTGTCTACCTTGCTTTATCCTCAGTGCACATGTGTGTCTGAGGCATTACCAATGAGTCAATGTATCTCCACCAGTGTTTGGTAGGCTATTGCTTCCCTCTTGATGGGTTAGGAAATGACCCCTTGTTCTGAGAATTTGTGAGCACTTTCCCAAGATTCCATAGACTTTCAGTGGAAGAACTAAGAGTCAGTGCAAAGAAGCTACCTGCATGTGTCCCCTGGGGACTCTGTCCTTGCCCCAAGGGTAGAGGATTCCTCTTGGGCTGGACTGCTCAGCACCTCACTCCCATTCCTCTGCATGATCTCTCAGTCTAGGCCCCTGCTTAGGCTCCTTAAAGCCAGGAGTCTCTCTCAGATCCCCACCTGGGGCAGCATATCCCCCCTCTACAAGCACAATGCACAATCATGCCCTTCACACTTGGCAGCTGCTCACCTCCACACCAAGCTGAGGCTTTGCTGCGGTTCCTCCACTCCTGTGTCAACACACCAGGACCTCTGAGTTGGCCCAGAGTATAGACGTCTTGGAGGCAAGAGAGAACTAGGGTTCCCAAAGCACAGCTCATGCCATTGAAAGTCTCTCTCTTTGCCTTCCTCCATCTCTTCCTCTTTTCCTTCCTTCTTCTTGCCCTCCCTCCTTTGACCCCCCCTCCTCTCTCTCTCACCAACTCCTCTCCACTCTCTACTTCACCTTCCAAGCAAGCAAGTATCCAGATGTTCACCATGTTTATTAAGGTTCTCCAGAAAAGCAGATGCAATAGATCAGCATAGGTGTATGTAAGAGGAGAGCTATAACACAGATTGGCTCACAAGGTTATCAAGACGGAGAAGTCCCGTGTTTGCCATTTGAGGAGGAGAGGGAGGAGGGTAAATAAATCTGGCTTACTCTGTGGTCTAAGTGTGTCTGTGCCCCGCTAAAATGCATGTGTTGAAATCCCTGTGCTCACAGTGGTGGTATGAGGTCAGGGACAGTGATTAGGCCATGAGGACAAAATCTCATCGATGGGATTCATGGCTTGCAAAAAGGCCCAGAGTGCTGCCTTGTACCATCTATCATGTGAGAACATAGTCAGTGGTGCTACAAAGAACACAGAACTATCACCAAACACGTAATCTACCTTGACCTTGAATTTCCAGTCTCCAGAACTGTGAGTAGTAATCTCCTGTTGTTTATAAGTTACACAGTTGATGGTAGTTCATTTCAATGGAAAGAAAGGGGCCTGACATGATCTTTCTCTGTCTTGTCAAGACTAGATTGAAGCTTTTAAGAGGTTACAGTGTCTCTGGATACAGGGTATGGGAGGGAAGAAGGAAGGGATGGCAGAAGTCAGATGTTATAGAGGGTCATCTTCATTTTAACAAATACCAGGGGTAGCTAAGTGGTAACCAAGCCCAAAGACCCACCCCTGCCATGGCCACAAGGACTGAAGTGCCCATGCAGGCTAGACACTGGGTGATGTTGAGGACAGCCTTGGGAGTGCTAGCTAGTACCTACTGGCCATAGGACTTTTGCCCAATATTGGAAGAGGAAGATCTCCTTCCAGGAGCATATAAAAAGTATCCCTAAATATGAGGAATTCTATTTTTAACTTGAAGTTCTTAGATGAACCAAGAACCCTGCAAAACCTCCACAGGCCACTTCAGAATATGGCAGCCAGGAAATGTCCACAGAAGTGCTTCAGAAACCATGTCCTAAGGGCTGTTCCAACCGAGCCCAGGGAAGACAAAAGGAGAGGGCTATAGTGGGTGTAGGGCACTGGTCTGTGCCCCCAAGGACAGCGAAGCCTCAGATGGGCAATATACTGGAGAGCCCAAAGAAACCACACTTGTCCTCCTCTTTCAGATCCTCCTGCCCACTGGCCCATGTGGCCTCTAGACTCTGTCCTTCCCTATCTCTTTATCAACGTTTCATTAGTATAACAAAATACCTGAGGGAATTAACTTATAAAGAGAAAAGAGTTGTTCAGTTCATGCTTCCAGAGATACCAGTTCAAAATCAGGTAGCATCATTCTTTTTGGGTCTCTAGTGAAGGTAGCATGTAGCACAGCAAACTGCTTACATCATGATCCTAGAAAGCAGACAGAAAGGTATCAGGGTCCCCAAATCACCTCCAAAGGTACACTCAATGACCAAAGTACCACCCATTAGATCCCACTTCCTGAAGGTCCCCAGCACCTCCCAATAGTACCACTCTGGGGGCCAAGCCTGGAACACATGGGCCTTTGAAGGACACTATACAAACCACAGGAGGGATTGTAGTTTGAATGTGAAATGTCTCCTACAGACTCACATGTTTGAACACTTGGTCCCAAGCTGGTGGCACTGTTTGGGAAGGTTGTGGAACCTTTAGTAAGTAGAGCCTGGCTAGAGGAAGTGGAGGGCTGGCCTTGAGATTTTATACCTGGGCCTCAATTCTTATTCACTCTCTATTTCCTGAATGCAGATGCAGTGTGACCAGCCAGCTCTGTCCCCACGGCCATGCCTTCCCTGCCATGATAGACTCTATCCCCCTGGATTTGTGAGCCAAAATAAACACCTTCTCCATTAAGTTGCTTTTGTCAGGGTATCACAATGACAGAAAAATAACTACGACATCAGGTTTAACCTCCAGAGCCATACCATACAGACAAACAGAGCTGCTAGCGTCAGGCAAAACATGGGTTGGGGCTTGGTTTTGAGGATGTGGCCATAGACTGAGCAGGTATCTCCAAAGTTATCTTCAACACGTTGAGGAACCTGATCCATCTGTCATCTCCTGAGTGGCCCTTGTCACTCCACATACCTCACTCCTGCTCTCTTACTCACCTTTCCTGATGTTCCCAGGAAACTAAGCCATGGAGGCAGAAAAGAGTCTATCAGCATTTATCCTCACCCACCTAAGCACAGCCTCTTCTGTCAGGGTCCCATGCCTGCCTGCTGCCTCCATTCTACAAACTAGGCCTGTCCATGAATAATTAGGGCTGGGCTCGGACAGTGATATGATGAGAGAGCTTCACCCTTTATGTGCAAGAAATGGAGGTCTGTGTTGTTAACAGCAACATCATTGTATTATTTGCAAGGGCTACCATATCCAAGTATCACAGACTGGTGACTTAAAAACACAGAACTTTATTTCCCTCTAATTCTGGAGGTTAGAAGCTTAAGGTCAAGGTGTGCTCATCAGTTTTCTATGAAGTGACAAGTTTGTAAGGCTATCCTGGCTTAGGAACAAGCACCTCAGGCCAGGCTGCAAAGTCATGAGAGGAAGCACATCATCTTTTTGAACAAATGAGGGGGTGGGAGCCCTGGGCTCAAGAACCCTGTGGAGGTTCTGGGACTGTAGGGAAACCAAGGCCAGAAGGCCAGTGGCTCAGCTCAGGAGCCTCAGACTCAAAGATGCAATTATTCATAACTAAATGCCCGAAACTATCCCTGTTTCTCTGTTATCAGAGAGTCAATTGGGCATCTCAGGAAGGGAACCTTAGCTCAGAGAGCAGATGGATTTAAAGGGACCTTAACTCCAGTTCCAAGGGAATCTGAAGCCCTCTTCTGACCTCCGCAGCACTGCACGACACAGGTACACTCACATACTGCAGGCAATACACTCATGCACATAAAATAAAAATAATAAATAAAATATTTTAAAGGGACCTTCCAGGCAAGGTGCCAGGGCTCAGTTTTGGAGATGAGCACAGGCTATGTTTGCAGAAGCTGTGCCCTGAGGTCTGGGAAACAGCAGGTCCAGGAGCTAAGGGTATCTCCTGGATACCCTCC